CACCGCTGGAATCAACATGATCCCAAAATGATTGGCTGGACACCAAAGAAACAAAGGCCCCCTGTTGAATCCGGGCCTTGCCTTCTAATGCTCCGCCCTGAAAGAAACACCAAACGCAACTTTGCTTGCCTCTTTGCGTTGCTGCATTTTAATTTTCAAGGGAACCCCCCTCCAACCCCAAATCGTGTGTGGTTTCTCCTTTTTTACTTATTTTCGGGCACCCTTTTCCGGATGGTTCCAAGGGAAAACTGGAAGAAACAAACAACATGGGGGGGGGGGGGGGCGGGTCCGAATCCCAAAAAAAGCCAGCCCTGGAGGCTAAATCCGAATATCCGAATCTCCGGGGGCGGCGCTTTTCCTGGATCTGGGCGTCGCGGATGGTCACGATCTTGGAGTAGAGCATCATCTGATTCATGTGTTTCACCTCGGCTGGAGCGGGATCGTCACGTCATGATTCTGATGCCCAGTGGATTTCCATGGGAGAAAAAGAATTGGCATCCTTATTTGGTGGGTTCACTTTAAAGGAATCGGAACCCTTCAAAAAAAAAAGGAAAAAGGACACCACTGGGCAGCTGGGTCTGGGATCGCCATGTCCCATTCATGCATGATTAACGTCACCCCTCCGAGCTTAGACTGGGTTGGTCAAGAACATCATTGATAGGACACGCGTTTTTCAGGAAGAGTGAGTGCTTCGCTTGCTGAGATCGCCCTCTGATTCAGGCATGCTTCGCTTCCTCCCTAGGCGAAACGCATCTCCGGGCTCCGAAGGCCGGGGAGGGGCAAAGGGGCAGGATCTTCATCGCTTCGGAAAACATTGATAGGGACGCGCGTTTTTCAGGAAGAGCGAGGGCTTGGCAGAGCTCTTTAGCCTATGAGCTGCAGGTGCAAAAACACTATGGGACTATGGGGAGCTGAGTGTGGCACTTGTAGCAAGACAGAAGCAAAGCTGCAAGCACAAAGATTGATTCAGGAGAGGTTTGGCCTATCGAAGCAGATGCAGCCAGCGGCCATGAACCGGCACATGAACCGGCTCCCGTGTGACCAACCGACACCCACTTCCTTCCAGGCGTCAACCACCATGACTGAGGTAGCAACCTGTAGCTCTGTGGTTCACACCTATATGTCCAGCCACGGGTAGTTGAAATTTCGTGTCCCTCATGTCCCTCAACGAACCACGGACTGGCACTTTTTTAACACAAACTCCCGCAAAGATCCTGCATGCGTCTTGTGAATCATGGGAGAATCCCATCCTTATGGAACAACCCACTGAGCCAAGGGGCATCATCCATGTCTTCATCCAGCATCTGCTTGGCCCTCTCGAGGACGCCGCCCTTGGGTCCACGCGCATCCTGGGTCGGAGGGAGGCGAAGCCAGGGAGCCGTTCCTTGAGAAAGGGCTACGTCGAAAAGAAGTGCAGCGGTTCCTTTTGCCGCTGCTCAGAGAAACCAACATAAAACAGAAATAATAATAAAAAAGGCCCTTGTATAAGGTCGCCGGGAAGAGCCCTGGTTTCCGCCAGTTCCCAAGGTTCCGTGATCAAAACCTACGAGTCTGCCCCCCAAAGCAATCAGAACTGCCGCACTTTGGACCTCGTCCCAGCCTTCCGGCTCAAACTGGTCACCGATCCGCGCAGATCGGAGTCAAGTAAAGTAAGTGTCCAACGAATTTCCGTTGACATGGTGGCTTTGAGGAGCGGTACCGCGGCCCAAGACTAATTTTGAGAACCGGTTCCTCAAGGTGTGCACGAAGTCCCCGCTGTGCCAATGAAGACCTCTTCCAAATGGCGAGTTCTCAAGGGGAGGCTCCTTGGTACAAAAGTGGGAAGCAACCCTTCGTGAGCCTTGCCTGCAAAATGCACCCTGTGAGCCTTGCCTAGCCTTGCCTGGGAGCCCGCCTTGGCATTCTCGTTCTGGATGGCGTTCCTTTTGCGCTCCTCCTCCATCTGCCTGGTGCTGGGACGGGCAGATGGAGCCACGCTTGCGCTAAGCATCGGGCGGTTCACCTGGACTCTGGTGCCGCTCAAGGTGCCGCCTTTTACAGAGAATACCAAAGAGCGGCCTTAACTAGGACAACCTCCCATTTCCTGGAACAAGAGGTCAAGCTTTTGGGGCCATGACAAAAAGTGTGAAAACAACGAAAAGCCAAAGGGTCGAAAGGTGGGCTTTGGGCACATGAGTGCTTCCACGTTCCTAGGATAATTTTAGCGTTAGCGACCGTTACCAGCTTCTAATGCTGTTCTACGTGTTGCTATTCAGGTGCACGAACCCATGGGCTATACACTCCTCTGAACCTCATAACCCCCGCAGGTAGTAGAACCACCTAATTACATCGGCTTGTGTCAAAATGGGGCCCCCGTCCCCTGACAAAGAAAAGCGGCAAGTGTTCCTCTTGATTCCCCTTTAAACTTCGAACCAACCAACAAAAGGTAGCAACTCCAACCAAAAACACGAGCTTAGAGCAGATATGTTTGTTTGTTTGTTTGCTTGCTTGCTTGCTTGCT